TGTGGTGACTTAGTAAAGTGGTTAAGTTGTCACACCTCCAAGCGACATGTTAGCTAAGTAGGGGGTTCGAAATCTACTGGCGATGAATTTCGAAAAATTCTACCTGTATGACATTATTGCTGTCCGATTAATGGTTAGAATGAGATTTCTGTAACTCTGGTAGCACCAACAGGATTGGGAGATTATGGAGTATTTGTGTAATATATGAGTTATACGAATAAGCTTCCAGATTATCGTAAACCCAAGGAATCAGAAAAGATGATAGAACACACTTGGCAAGACCCAAGTAGAGAGATAGTACAGATCTTTGATGGTACTACGTAAAGGATTATTACTGAAAAAACTGGCAAAACTGAACAGGACTAAAGTATTTGGCAAGATACTTCACCAACCAGGCTGTTGAGAGAGTAACCGGAGGAAAAGAACCTAACTGTGGAGACCAAGAGCAGGTCACAGCCCTTCCAAGCTATCTGGATTGGTAGTTTGGGATTGTTAGGATTAAAATCGGTGATAGTCTGTAAAGTATGTACTGGGGTTTGGGTGAACTCTACAAGGGCAGAAGTAGAGAATAGTAGTGGTCTTGGCTTACAAGTACATGTCCTCAAACTCAGCATAAGTTACCGAAGTCTAAGTTAGCCGGATTGTTGGTATGGAAAGCTCTAACAAGTTTACCTTAAGGGTAAATTAGCCCTAGGTCAGGTGCTCCTTATGGCAAGTATTGGTTCCTTATAAGGATATGGCAGCGCAGAGAGTTTAAATAGATAATCTCCTAGTTGGATTATAGATATGGTATCTAGTGTAGAACCTTCAGGCAGACTACTTAAATAGACAATCAAAAGTTATACATGTGGCTAGTTATATTCTTTAAAACTATGTACCAAAATAAATAGTGGTTGACTTTGATCAGCTTAGCACAAAAACTAATAAAGGCAACTGACCATGAGGTCACTTTGATATTAAAAAAAAAAAAAGAATAATATACAGATCAGTAATTTTTTAAGAGGTTCTAGTATTTACAGATTTTCTTTGATTACCTTAGTTGATAACTTTGTTTAAAAATTAAAAGACCGTGAATATATTACAAAAGATTTGATAGAATTATAGTAGAAATTTTGAACTTGAATTTCTACTTAAGAACAGATAGTTTTAATAAAATTTTTATATTCTAGGTATAAATATAAGAGCGAATCTATTTGTCGCTACCAGTGACAGCACCGAATACGTGACATCAATGTGATTGGTTAATATAAATTGATAAATAATTTATTAATTTACTTTTGTATAATACAATTACTAAACCATTACGTTATAATAATGATATTTATTAATAATACTAATAAAAAGAAAAAAAAAATCTAAAGAAAAAAAAACTAGACAATCCAACTTCATCGAAAAAAATACTAAAAAAAATTTAATGCCTAAAAAAAAGTTAGTAGAGAGCATAAAAACACACAAGAGAATCCAAAATCGCCAAGAAGAAGAACTTTGGAAGAACGTCTAAACAAAAAAGAAAATTAATAAATACAGAAAACACTAAGAAAAAAAAAAAGACAAAACTCACCAAAGAATGATACAAAACCACCAAAGAATTCTCAGAAAACAGTACAAGTTTATCCAAAGACAAGAACACCAGAAGAACACCTAAAGCAAGAAAAGAATTAGTAGTAAATACAAGAAATATCATGAAGAAAGAAAAAAAACAAAACAAGACTAACCAGAGAACTATATAAGTTGACGAAGAATCACCAGAAAACAATGCAAAATCGATGAAGAATTACCAGAAAACAACACAAAGTCTACAAAGATCACCAGGAAACGATGACGCTAAGTCTATCAAAAGAACGTCTAAATAAGAAAGAAAGTTAGTAGTAAACACAAAAAATATCAAGAACAAAAAAAAAAAAAGAAACAAGACTTTTTAGAAAACGACAAAATTCAACGAAAGAATTACCAGAAATGACGATATTAAGTTTACCGAAAGAATGTCTTAAAACAAAAAAAAAAGTTAGTAGTGAGCAAAAAAATATCAAAAAAAAATAAGTACAAGAAACACATACAAAAAAAAAAAGAATACAAGAAATGCCAAAAAACAAAAAAGAAAGACTCACTGGAGAATGGTGCAAATTTGATAAAAGATCACCAGAAAATGACGTAAATCTACTGAAAACTGCCTAATACAAGAAAGAAAGTTAGTAGTGAGCACAAGAAACACTAAGAAAAAAAAGAAAGACAAGAAAGACTCACCAAAGAATGATACAAATTTGAGAAGAATCACCAAAAAACAACACAAGCCCATCAAAGAATGCCTAAAACAAAAAACACCATGAAAAAAAATAAGCACAAGAAATACCAAGAAAAAAAATAAATACAAGAAACATCAAGAAAAAATAAAAAGCAAGACTTACCAAAAAAAAACAAAAAAAATGACGCAAGTCCACCAGAAGAACACCTAAACAAGAAACACCCAGAACACAAAAAACACAGAAAAAAATTAAAGCAAGAAAAAAAAAAAAAACTCACTATAAACGATACAAATTTAAAGAACCTCTAATAAATCTACTGGAAGAATACCTAAAACAAGAGTGAATACAAAAGCGTCTAAAACAAAAGTGAACAAAAAAAAATACAAAAAAAAAGAATAACTTACCAAGAGAGCAACATAAACTATTCCAAAAATCTACTCCAGAAAGCCGAAAAGAACGATATCGAAGATTCACCTAAAAAATAAAAAAAAATAAATATAGTATACGAAAATATAAAAAAAAGAACAAACAAAAAAAAAACTTACTCGTATTTAAATACAGATCAGTATGTTATCATGTGGTCAGTACTGTCACTGCCGGCGACAACTAGATTATTTCTAAATATAAATACTAGTATAGAGTTTAAACTAGTTATTTAGTAGTATTATATAATTTTTATAGTTTAATATGGGCTTAATAATGCTATCTTTGTTTTCTTTTTTTTATTTTGTTTTTTCTTTTTTGTTTTTATTTTTGGTTTTATTTGTTTTAATTAGATTAGACTTCACTATTGTGTTTACTCCCTCTTTGTTTTATATTGCTCTTTAAATTTGTATTTGTATTTTACTACTAAAAAGAAAAACTAATATTAATAAAAATGGCTTGTAGTTATCAGCTGAGGACTGAAAAAATAAAGTTTCTAGTAAATTAAAAACCTAAATAAAGGTCAATGACTATTGAAGCAGGCTATATTAGGCAAAAACTTGGTAAGTTTTCTGTTTAAATAAGATTAGTTTAGCTATAGATAGAAATTGTATAATTTCTTGAATAGTATATAATCTCAAATAAACAGAGACAGAGTAGCCAAAATAAAAAAAATTTTCTTAATAAAATTAATAAAATAGATTTTAAAAAATATATTTTGCTAAAAAAGTATATTGCTAAAATTAATATTTAGGATTTTATTAAAAAATTAGTTTAAAAAATAAATACAAGCAAATTTGCTTATATTATAATTTAAAAAATATTATTTTTAGTTTAATTAGTAGATCACAAGTCATTTAAACAAAGCCTATAATATAATATAATACAGGTCCTATATATTTTTTATATAGATAACTTACAACTTGCCAATTAAACTATAAATAATTTGTTTTGAAAAAATAAACAATATCAACTATTAATAGATTGGATTTACCACTTTGTACTAAATCTAGTACATTTAAAAAAATCAATTAAAAATTTTAAAAAATATATACTTAAAAAATTTTTATATACAAATATCTAATTGATATTCAAAAATTGTATAACCTTATTTTTTTTATATTAATAATAAAATTACTAAGATAAATAGGTTTTTATATTAAGTATTTTTTGTAACTTTTAGTGTACGAAATCTAGTACACTTTTTAGCTCTAATTATAATTATAATATATTAATAAATTTTATAAACTAAAAGTTTAATTATA